CTACCTACCTACCTACCTACCTACCTACCTACCTACCTACCTACCTTCCTTCTTTCCTTCCTCTTCCCTTCACTTCTTTCTCTCTTTCTTTCATCTATCTATCATGGTCTATCTAGGCACACCTGAGCAAAGCATAAGGAGTGATAATGGTAATAGTCATCTTCTGTTGCTTTTTTCAGCATCTGATAATCACATTGTGTTCTTAAATATATTTTGCTTTATTTTCCAGTAACAAACAGTCAAGCAGGCAGGTAGCCTATTTTTAGCAGCCTGTACACCTGTGCAAGTTGCACCTATTCTTTTTCCTTCTAAACTAGCCATTTTATCTTCCTGTTCTTATGTACCAGGTTTTTGATGTAGGAACAAACACAAAAGTATGGGATCTATGTCAGATGATTGGCAACAAGATGGAATTGAGCTCCTTGGATGGATTTAGCCTCTTTATCAAGATTTCAGATAAGGTAATATGACATAAGGTATATCAGTTCCATTTGATAAAGAGATTTGGAAAACTAGAAAGTTTTGGTGGGTCTAAAAATATTTTTGCTTCTTATTCCTCAAATATCCAAATGGCTGCTTTGTCATCTTATTGTGTGTGAGTTCCACTTTGCATCATTTCCGTCAAACCCTAATTTCTGCTCTTTACTTTTATTCTGAGTTACATTTTAGGAGATAGTTGTTGATGCTGGTGTTATTATTTTAATTCAATGACTTTTATTTGCCACTCAGTCCTTCAACTTTTAGCTTTAGACAATTTAGAAAAATATTTAATAAACAACAATAACATTCAGTATATCAAGTCTATGAAGATAAGCAATTTAAATTAATCTCTATGTTAAAAGTAACATTTTAATCTCCCACATACATTGAACCTGAAAAGAGGTTGTTTTTATAAAGCAATCATTATATACAGTTGTTATAATGATTGCTTTATACATGTGTTCTTTTATTTGATTGTTGTTCACTTCTCATAGTAGCTTTTCCTGAGATGGGTGGCTATATATATTTGATAAATAAATAAACACATGCATACTGTGAAGCGGTATATAAATCTAAGTGCTATTGCTATTGCTATACATGCAATTCAATTCCATTGTTTCCCTATGTTTGGCTTCAGTCAGGGGTGGGTTCCGGTAGGCATTACTGCCGGATCACTCATGTGTATGCCGTGTGCACATGTGCAGTGCAATTACAATTGTTCTGCACATGCACAGAACTCAAAAACAAGATGGCAGCACCTATGGCACTGCCCAGAGAACCAGTTTGGGGGCGTTGCAGGCCTGGGTTGCTGCCAGTTCCAGGGACCCAGGCTGCCAAACCGCTACCGGTTTGACCGAACCGGTCTGAACTGGTAGGAACCCACCACTGGCTTCAGTACAAAAAAAATGGACTTGGTTGCTGCTCTTAAATGGGGATGTACAAAAATTATCCAGTCAATGATGTAAGAGCAGAAATGGACTGCTTGTGTGGGGAGATGTTCCTGATATAAGAAAGCATCTTTAATTGTCCAGAAAGGAAACTGACAGTTTATGCTGGTTTTTCTGTAATGTTGTCTCAGAATGCTAATACATTCAATTATTTGTAGTAACTCAGCTTCCGTTTTATTGTCTATTCTAGGTGATCAGCCAGAATGAAGCAGATTATTTCTTTGACTCCTTAAGACAGGTGACGGACTGGACTCGGAAGAACAGGCCAGGAAAGGAGGGTATGGAGATGGAAAGATGAAATATGGGGTGTTGACGGTAACCTAGAAGCTATCTGTGCCTTTATCAGAGGGAAATTATCCACCTGAGAGTTCAAAACATAGCCATTTTTCATAAGATTGGTCAATACTCTCAATTATTGAAAATAAAATTGTGATTCTCCGTTATAACAGCTGCTTCTTTTAAAATTATTAGGATCCAATTAAAAAGCAGCAAAAAGTCCGCAATTCAATTTCTCTCCCCTTTTTAAAAACTTTTTATAGAAATTAATATTTACAGTGTATGTTTTGCATGTCTATTTGAAAATAAGCTCCTTTGTCTAATGTGGCTTTCAGGTAAATGTGCATAAGATTCCCTGAAGGATCTAGAAGTCCTCTATGGCTTCTACTTATAACAGCTATATTTTAGTTTTACTATGAAAGGTAGTAACCTGATTAAGAGAGTGTGTTACACGTTACTTGTGGGGTTCTTGTATTGAAGTAAATAGACATTTATGCAGAAACATTGATTTATTGAATAGTTATTACCTGATGTATAATTGACCTGAAAAATAATACAATATTTCCCAGTTGCTAGAAAGCTTATTTTTCCTCATGCTCTGGTTCAATGTAGAATATATATTTAAGTGCCTGTACATGCCTCTTTGAAGTCTTTTACCTAAATGTCTGACATTGTTTTTCTAGTGTTTCCCACCACTATGAATTACCAGGTCTACTTCATGAGAAAGTTGTGGCTGAATGTGATACCTGGGAAGGATTTGAAGGCTGATTGCATCTTTCATTATCATCAGGTAAACAGGATTGATGATAACTAGCTGGACTATCTAAATAAATTTTTGCATCAAAGCTTGATTTATCATAATATATACATTCTACAGTATATATGAAATACTGATTGCACTATATAATTAATGGCAATGAAATAAACTTCTTGGCTGTATGTACTGGATTGATCAAACTGAAACTAATTAGATTAAAAAACCAGTCTTCCCCATGATAGCTTAACAAAAATTTTAAAAAAACATTTTTATAGCTGACACTGCAAAGTAACTTAAATAACATTTTGAAACAGTCACAGTCAACCAGAAAATCAAGCCTTCAGAATGTGTCTGAACCAGAGACTTTCTGCTTCTATCTTGATGTTTTACTGCAAAACAGAAAGCTTGCAAGAAACTTCCGGAACTTCCGGCACTGTAGGCATTGAAGGGCGTTCCTGTGGGAATGCCAGCCTCGTGATCGCGTTTAAGCTGCTAGAACAGCGTAAATCAGCTGTCTAGCAGCTTGAAAACTCTCCCCTCAGGAAAAGAGGGGGAGGTGAGCAGCAGGGCAAGGGTAGAGCTCCCCATAGACCCCCAGGAGCAATTCTGGGGCTTGAAGGGTGAGAGCCCCCCAGCAGCCCGACAGAGCTCCGCATCCAGGATGCTTCTGCTGCAGCAGAACAAAATGCCGCGACCATCCCTGCAATCAATGTTTTAATCTACACTTGAATAAGAAGCAGGCAGAGCAAAGACAGGAGTGATTATAATTGCAGTACAAACTTTAACTCTGATGCAGTATCACTTCCTTCTGTGAAATTGAGGGGAGCAAAAGGGTAATGAAGATGGTGTCTGGAAGTCAAAGGGTGTGGTGAAACTTAAAAGGAAAGCATTTGTTAAGTGCTTGTTAATGTCGTTAAAAGAACCAAGAGCTCAAGATTAAAGAAAACAGTATTGGTTTACTAATAAACTACAAGATCCAACAAATTTGCGGATTAAGTGGACTTTTTGGACTCAATAATTTGGCCGCTGGAAAGTGTGATTTGAATATTCAGAAATGGCTTCAAAACAAATAAAAATAAGCGCTTCTAAGAGTGCTGGAAGCCTCCCAGCCTAGCCACCTAAATTGCAGTCTTTATTACCTTTAGTGGATACACAA